CCCCCCCCCCCCCCTCTGGATTTACCCCAATGTAACTTGACGTTACATATACATATGTTTAGGTAGACTTGGAGTTGATTTCCCCCATCCTGGTGTTGGTCCATATCCTGTTACTGCAGATAGAGGGCTCGTCAAGGTAAACATTATGTGTAGTAAATGCCCTACTCCAATAAATCCGTTTAGACTTGTATCAATCCAGGTACAAATCAATCCCTGTTGTTAATCCACGAGGTATAGAACTATTTAGTTCTGTAATACGGTATCAATCCAGGCATATACTTCCGTATTCAATGATATCTATGTTTCAAGATACAACTTAACAATACTTTAGTATCAATGTCAATCCGGACACGACTTTATCTGTATCAATACTTTACTATCAATGTCAATCCGGACACAACTTTTTCTGTGTCAATACTTTACTTTCAATGTCAATCAGGACACAACTTTATCTGTATACTTCATCCTTCAATAAAAGGGATTCAAAGGCTTCTTGTTTGTTAACCAAGAAGTAATTACTCTCACACCATAATTAAAGTGGAGTCTAATTCCAACTTAGTGTATTTTAGGTTCTAGGTTACAGATTAAGTTAAATATGCGTAATTACAAGTTTTGCGTTGTTATATACAAACCTAGTTAAGCAAATCACAATACAGGTTTGGCATAGTTATTTAAAGATGTATCTAGGTTAGATTAATCACAATACAAGATTTGCATAGTTACTGATAAGTACATTTAGATTTGCAGACAAAGTACAACATATTTGATCTAGGTAAAATTATGGGATCTGCCACAGTATTAATTACAAAATGGAGGAGTGTTGAAAAATATAGTTATCTATCCCTTATTTTCTACAATTTTAGCCACTACACATCTCTTCTTTGTTTTGTCTCCATTCCGATTTCTCGACTGCAAACAGAAAATTCATGAACTCCATCATATCAAACAGGCCAGGTTTCATATGATTCTTCGACTTTTTCGGTTCATCATTTGTACATATAACAGGAGACTGGAGAACCAGAACTTGTTCCTGTTTCTTATCAATACAGTTGCATTGCCCTAATACACAATTGAAACTGTATCTACAACATTAGGCTGATCCAATTCATCAATGTTGTCTTTGAGTTCTTTGTTGGATACAATGGGGATATTTCTTTGACTCCTTTTAATCCCTTCCCTGTCCCTGCACTTGGATTCCCCATGTTGCTGATATCTCTGTCATTTCTGTATTCCTGCAACATGTGATGTGTCCATGTTAGTGTCTGGTTCCAGAATGATATTCAGAATCTGGATTACTGATTAAACGTTGTGTTACCATGAACTAATTCTGCGTTTCCATATCTACGTCCTCATCTGCTAGACAGATGGGGTGGGGGAAGGGGTGCTTCTACTCCTGCAGATGTATTATTCTTAACAATTCTGCTGTGACATTCTTTTGGTTTTCGGGAAGGGGATAACAAATCCATTTTCTTTGTATTATCTTCCCTGTATGACAATGTTTCAGTTCCTGTGCTAATTACAGCTGTTGGATCACCATTTGCAGCTGTTGAATTTACATTAAATTTGAAACTTCTCTCATCTTATTCGTTTCTAATATTGCAGAGTGTGAGGGATCACTGGGAAACCAGTAGGCACTACAATCTCCTCTGAATTCTTTTAATACATCTATGCTGACTTGCCTGGATTTTCCTTTCTTGTACACTTCCATTACTTCTGCTAGGGCTGGAGAGATTTTCCTGAAAATCTTGTGCGGTCCAGCTCAATATGTACTTAACTTTTCACAACTTCCATGGATAATCTTCAGATCAAAAACCCAGATCCACTCTCCAATTTCAAACTTTGACAAGATTGGCTTGTAGTATTGAGCATTTTGGTATGCTTCTCACTCATACCTGCAACATAAGCCATTTGTAACCGTTCTTGCATCAGTCTGTCCAGTCTGATAGTTCCATTTCCCTGTCTGCTTTAGGTAGGGGATATATCCAACAAACAAGAAGTGTAGCTTTCCATCCAAACATGGTTGAAGAATGGGGTCTGACCACTGTTAGTATGCATGGTTGTGTTTTAATCTAAACCGGCTGCTTTTACACTCTGATCTCATTCCTCCTGCATCTCCCAACCCATGGGTTACAAAATACCCATTATGGATCAATGCCATCTCTCAAGGATGTTGTAAGATGGGTTGTATTGTAGGGTCTTGTTATGCAATATTTTTAATACTCGAAATAACTCTTTCCATAACTGGTTTATGAACTTGCCACAAGTTGTCTAAGTGTATTTAATTAGGGAAACCAAACACACTAAAGTCTTTAAATTAAAAATCTTGCCATGGTGCAAGCCTCTGTATTGTAAATTGGATAAGCACTTGCAAATCTTGTGAATTCGTCTTGCACTGTCAACAAATAACGGTTCTTTCTCACTGTTTTGGTCAAGGTCAATGAATACTTTTTTACCTATGTTTCCCACTGTACTCGAAACATGACATCCCATCTTGGGTTTGATGCTTCTTTCTCTGGTGAGACAGATATCTGAACTTGTTAGAGCTGATAAAACTAAGAAAGTTCTCTGAAACTTGTCTAAAGTACCGTTTACTCCTTCATGTCTGGACATTATTATTTTGACAGATCTGGAACGCTTCTTTTAAACTTGCTTCCAGTAAGCAGATACTCAGAGCATTATATGGCTTTGTTAGATCCATGTGTTTATTGTAACAGAAAACCCAATCATTTATCATGAACAACATAGGATTGAAGATCTGTCTCATCCTCATTACTCCTTGTACTTTCTTAATTCTTGCATATGTGGTGCTTTGCCTTGTACAACCCACTGTATAACTTCATTCAAGACTTCATTTTCTTCCTGTAGTTTCCATAGCTCATTCCCTTCTATAATCTCATGCCCTTGTTTTTGATACATACTGTGCACTGCAGGTTAATATCCGGCAAACTTCCGCCTCTCTATAGCTATCTCCTCCAGATCGCTGTCTAGATCTGTAGCATAAGTTATCTTGAATTCGCCTACTTCATCATCTAACTGATATTCTTTATTCTCTTCTTTAGTTGGTTCATCAAATTGATCTGATCTTGATAATGCATCTGCATTCACATTTTTTGTCCCCTTCTGGTGAATCACTATGAACTCGAACTGAGCCAATTCTGCAAACCAGTGATGAAAAAGGCTTTACTCAGATTTTATACTGACTATGTACTGGATGTGTCTGTATAAACTAAAAAGGGTGGGCCGTTACTTCAGGATTTGCTTCCATCTCTTCATACATGCTCTTCACTAAATCCAATAACTCTCCCTTCATAGATGGATAATGTTCTCATATCAATTGCACTTCCTGCCCCAGCAACTGATAAAACGCTCCACTCCTTCCTGTTTTTGATACAGTGCACCAGCAATATTCAATGCAGACCAATTTGTGGTGAGAATAAAGGGCTCATTAGAGTCAAAGACTGAATATGCCTGAATCTTTCCTGCTGTGAATTCTGCCTTTAATTGCTCAAAATCTTTCTCTATGTCATCTGACCACTTGAATTCATGCTGTTGTCAAAGCTGAGAACCTGGGAATGAAACCCTGCTAATATCCAGTAAATCCAAGTAATGAGGACATCTCCTTACAACTAGTTCTGTACATTCTTGATATAATACTCTAGCATTTGTACTCCATCTTAACTCACTTTATGTCCTAAATACTCTACTTCCGATTAAAAAGACCTTGGTCTTCTTTGGCTGTATCTTGATCTATGCGTTAGTGTGAGCTTGAACTACCTTCCTTAGTTGTTCCAAGTGTCCCCATGGGTCTGTCGAATATGCCAGAATGTCATCCAAAAAACCAGTAACCTGCAGGTAGATCAGCCATTACCAGGTCCAACAACTTCGAATGCACTCTGCTTTCATTAGATAAGCTGAATGACATTCATATCTAATGGAAGATTCTGAACGGGCTGATAAATGGTGTACAATCTCTACTTCCTTCCTCGATTTGTATGCAGTGATAGGTGCCACAAGTGTCAATTGACATGACTAGTGAATATTGTGGCATCCTTCAACTTCTGCAGATTCTCTTGAATGTTTGTTAATGGTAAGCATCCTTCAATGTGGCAGAATTTAAAAGCCTTAGATCTGTCACCCATCTTGTCCTTTCATCCTTCTTCTTAATTGATGGCCCAGGGGCTGTTAGCAGGTTCAATGTCCCCTTGCTCTATCCACTCATCTATCTGTTCTTTCAAGTTCCTGAAAGCACAGGAAAAATTCACTTTGTATTGTTTTCAGAACTCGAGTCCCAAATTCATTGCATGATTTAGTTTGCTGATACAGGTAAAAATGTCAATGACCGATATGTCTGTTCAGAGTTTAATGAACATAGCTATATTTAAAAGAAATGTAAAAAGGGTTATTACATATATGCAGTTAGATTTAGGTTTCTATGGTTTGGGGGTTATTACTATATTTATTACATATATTAAGTTGTCATCTCGATATATAATGAAGTTGTAATCTCTGTTTGATTATTTGTATGCCTGATCTCAATTGATTTGCCTCAAATTTTGATTTGGGAACTTGGGAGAACCTTGGGAATTTTCTTAGCTTAGTTTTCAGGCTATAAGTTGAGTGGGTCGACTTTTATAGTTTAAAAGTGGGTTGGCAATAAAAGGAAAAACTTAGCTTCCAGGCAAGACTGGGTTCCCACTCCAGTACTTCAAATGAAATGATTAAAAAATATTAGAGAAAATTGATTAGTATAATTTACATAATCCATCTCCCTATATTGAAGCTAGTCTATCATACAGGGTTGCCCACAAAGGATGAGTCTGTAAAGACGTCATGGAACTCGTAAAATATGACAATCTCATATTTGAATTAAATCTTTTGCCTTATATAACGTCCTGTAACGGCTTATGTTATGATTGGACTAAGAAAAAACAAGTTTACAAGTTTGCAGTTGCAGGGCCGTAATCATAAATATAATTAAACAGATTAAGTTTCATCCTGTATGGGTAACCCTAGGAATTTTTATAAATAATTATGGCTTAGTTTTATCGTAAAATGTTAGTATTTGTATCGATAAAGATAATTAAATCGTGGTTGAAGGCTCACTTAAAATTACTTATATACATTTGCTTAAGGTGACGGAAGAAGGAGATGAGATTCGGCATGCTTGGTATCAATGGGTTGTATTTGTTCTTTTCTTCCAGGTAAACTAATCTATATAATAAATATCCTATCTTATATATATAATATATATATTATTGCTTTAATAACTGGCAACACAGTGGGACAAAATTGGCTGACATTTTATCTAGGGAACCCATGCACTTTTTATATTTTTTATATTACATATAACACATGTTTTAAAGAACATGTAAAATCTTTCCCTGGGATTTTTAGAAAGATGGTGATTTCCCTGCATAATAATACCGATGTAAAACCTTTATAAAAAATAGGAAATATTCTGCTTAAAAAAAACAGAATTTTCATATTTAATAAAAATAATCAAGTAGATTAGAGTCAGAAGCACATTTTAACATTATTTCTTTATAGTTTTGCACAATTTTTATGGACGAAAAAGCTTGTTTAATACCAATCAGTTGATCACTTAATGGAGGGAGGGATGGCAACGTCGCCAATTTGTAATCCCCATATCTGCAGGGTACTGGTGAGTCCTGCTTGGTACTGCTGGGTACTGCCGGGGTACTGTGGAGTATTGTGGGGTACTGCAGGGTACTGCATGGTACTGCTGGTTACTACTGGGTACTACTGGGTACTACTGGGTACTACTGGGTACTACTGGGTACTACTGGGTACTACTGGGTACTACTAGGTACTACTGGGTACTACTGGGTACTACTGGGTACTGCTGGGTACTACTGGGTACTGCTGGGTACTGCTGGGTACTGCTGGGTACTATTCCGGGTGTAGGGGGGTACTCAGGGGTAATGGGGGTACCAAGGGGTTGGGTGACGGGGTTACTTTGGAGTACCGCAGTGTACTGGAAGGTACTGAACGGTACTGCAGTGGTGCCCTGTACCCTGCAGTGCCCTTGTACCCTGCAGTGCCCTTGTACCCTGCAGTACCCTGTAACCTGATCTACCCTGTAACCTGCAGTACCCTATACCCTGCAGTACCACGTAGCCTTCTGTACTCAGCATTATTCTGTACCCTGAAGTACAATGTACCCTGCAGTACCCTTAACCATGCAGTTCCATTTTTACCTGTATCATTAAACCAAAAATATAGTTAGTTGGATATAGACTCTGTTTATTTACGGGTAGAAGTATCAGTTCTCTGTTGAGAGAATATAATTTGATAGAGTTGTGTTTGGATTGATACACGCTTAAAGAAATATTGGAGTAAAGCATTTATTACACCCTGTTACAATAACTTTCCATACACAGATTTGGGAATTACAAATCGGCCATCCCTTTCTCCTAAATATTCGTCAGTTGTTCAGTTTTAAACTAGCTACAGAATCTCTGTTTTACTGTTTTACATGAATGAAAATAATGCAAAACTAGAATAAAGTGACACCCGGAAATACTTCTATATAAATACTAAACATTTTTGTTCATAATAAAAATTCAATTTGGTTTGGCAATTATTATATGCAGAATCTTTCCTGTTTTTGGATAGTTTTTACTAATTTTTATCACTACTTATTTTGAATTTTTAAAATATGCCGGATTAGGAAAGTCTTATATAGATATTTGCAATCATCCAGAACAAAAAAGTTTTCTTAAAAATTAAAATTTATAAGTTTTATAGGACATTCTGAATATTTCTTATACAAATGGAGTACCGTCTGCAAAGCATGTATAATCATGTGGTAGGGCGGGCCGCGCCAGTTGTATCTCCCTTCTAATTCATACTCCTTGAGCGTGGGTTAACGTCAGGGTTATATATGATAAAGAATAATAATATAATCTGACGAAAAAAATTAAAATAATCTCTATTGAGGCGTGCTGTTGTTATTTCCCACATTTTCTGTGGAAAAGTTTCGAGGGCGGGAAGATTGGAATGCTGCTGCAGGTATCATTATTATTATTGTTATTAGTAAATCTAATGACATAGTATCACATCGTCGAATTCACTGCAAACTGTACAAAAGGAGAAGGTTAAATTTATGCGAAATTACTGGTACAACTTTGTGACCTCGTAGCTCCTCTAGATTTGATTTTAAGCACAGTATGAGAAAAGAAAGCTTATCTGATTATATATTAGAAATATAAAACATTTTTGTTCTTCTCAATACCTCTTCAACAAGAGGAGTTATCAATGAAAACCAATCAAATTTCAATTATTTGTGTTAGTTACTTTAGCTTGACTTGACTTGAATATATTTTCATATTTTTATTCAAATAACAATTATGAACCCGCCTAACCAGCGTTTTGAGTTATTAAGCCTAAGTTAGTTAACGATGATAAATATTGTTGGTTAAACACGTCAAATTATGCATTTAAACCTCTCATAATTCTCAAGATAAATATTGATTACTGTTTGTTTCAATATTTTTGCAGATTTAGTCTCTTTAAGGTCAATTTCAATTGAATCCTACAATTTAGGAAACATTGCGGACGGAAAACTTTCTAGATTTTGTTTAAAACCTGTTCTAATTTATATGATTTTGTTCTTTTCGGTTCAGCTAGAGACTCGCTAGGGATGTATCCTGTTTTAAAAGAAGGATAAAATAAATGTGCTATATGATAATCGATACAATCAATTATCTCCTTCAGTAGTTTGGTAGAATATAAAAAAAAGTTTTAAAGTCAAATGTTTATAATATAAATTTAATATAATTTATAAATATAAATCATTAAATTCTAAAAATAAGGGAATTATTCCTATAGGATTTGAACGGCTATGTGCTGACTGGAGGGGAAAACACTGAAAACAAAAGGTAAGAATTATTTAAAAAAACAAAATGGACAATAATTTGTATACACATCATGCAGTCAGTAGGCACAGCCTCATTTTCAATTAAACAAACATAAAAATAAAACTTTTTTTATTTTTGTCAAGATTGTTGTTAATTTTACTATATTTAACATAATTAAAACACATCTTATAATTACTGTAATACTTTTTTTACTTGTTTTTTTTTGTCAGATAGGGTGTCCCACGAGCATGACAGATGGTGAATAGTTTTGAATGTCTTATTCCACATACTGTTTAAGACTTTTTGCAGTTTATTTCTTTAAAATAATGTTTAACTGATATATATATTTTACAGTGAAATCAATTTTACTATAATACAACTGTCATATAAAAAATGTTATTAGTCTCGTTAGTATTAAACATATTATCAAATTATGGAAGAAGATATTTTAAACTATTCACCAACTGTCATGTTTCGTGGGACACCCTGGACTTAATATGAAGATAAATACATAGAGAACTGTAGTTTCTATAAGGAATGTGACAGAACTCCGTTTGTATACATTGCTCCCAGGAACTACAGTACAGTTTTATTTTTAACAAAGTTTCAATCTTCCTTGATATTATCAATGACACATTTACAGGGCGCTTATCGTAAATTACTTCTTGCGGACCTTGAGGACAAACAACATGTACGTGTTTAAGTTCCTGGGTTGTGAATTCCTCAATCTGATCAACATTTTCGGTACAGTACAATTCTAGTTCATACAGTACAATAATAGTTTAACAGCACAAAACTAGTTCATACAACACAAAACTATTTTATACAGCACAATACTAGTTTATACAGTACAATACTAGTTTATACAACACAAAACTAGTTTATACAGTAAAGTACTATAGTTTTTACGGTACAATACTAGTTTTACAATACTAGTCTATACAGTACAATAATAGTTCAACAGCACAAAACTAGTTTATACAGTACAATATTAGTTTATACAGTACAATACTAGTTTATACAGTGCAATACTAGTTTATACAGTACAATACTACTTTATACAGTACAATACTACTTTATACAGTACAATACTAGTTTATACAGTACAATACTAGTTTATACAACACAAAACTAGTTTATACAGTGCAATACTAGTTTATACAGTACAATACTAATTTATACAGTACAATACTAGTCTATACAGTACAATAATAGTTCAACAGCACAAAACTAGTTTATACAGTACAATATTAGTTTATACAGTACAATACTAGTTTATACAGTGCAATACTAGTTTATACAGTACAATACTACTTTATACAGTACAATACTACTTTATACAGTACAATACTACTTTATACAGTACAATACTAATTTAAACAACACAAAACTAGTTTATACAGTACAAAACTAGTTTATACAGTACAATACTAGTTTATACAGTACAATACTACTTTATACAGTACAATACTAGTTTATGCAGTACAATACTAATTTATACAGTACAATACTAGTTTATACAGTACAAAACTAGTTATACAGTATACGAAGCATGAATTAGTGTTCGTTAGGAAGTTTTGCTTTTATTAATTTAAATCATACATAGCCCTGTACCTTCATTTTCTCCATTTTTTTTCTTCCATGGGTGAGATAATCGAACTTGAAAAAAATTTGAATATTTTTCTTGTGCTTATAGCTTTCGGCCCATAGACATGATTAATTAAGAATGTGGACAATTTTTTTATTTTTATTGGTTTAGATATATTAGGTTTTAATGTATTTGGTTGACATATAAAGAAGGTTATAGATAAGTGACTAGATAGTTTTATACATGTTTGTTAATCGGCATACTTATGATAATTACACATGAAATTATTTTAGAATTTTAGTAAAAATTGAAACTAGTTTGCTAGATAATTGGATCATTCTTTTAGATGAATTAAAGAGGTTTTAATTCATACATTTATAGAAAGATTTTATCATGGAAAATTTTTATATCTTATATATATTTTATATCTTATATATCTTTTATATCTTATGGTGAGCTTATGGTTTTATTCTATGTTTATATGTACTTTACTTGATGCACATACACCCTGTATCAAGGTGACATAAAAGGGACAGTTAGTGTAAATTCAAGTGACAAAGATGGCAATGCCCGATTTAAAACATCAACTTTGAAAACTGTGTCAGATAAAGTATGAATTTTATATAAATTTTTTGTTTATTTAAACTGTTCATTTTCTTCAGCAGAGATTTTTTCTGTCACAAGGTGTCACAGACAAAAACAAAGACAAAAGAAAAATGGATTGTCTTTAACTCTTCAATCTTAAATTTTAAAATGAACAAAGTTGGTGTTCAGAATTTGGTTCAAGAAGCATAAATATTACTTGCTGTCAATATTTTTAAAACAATATTATTTGTCTACTTATTATTAATGTTTCCTAAACTGTTTAATAATATACATATTGTATGAGTATGTAAAAAAAACACTAAAATTAATGTATTTTTTACTAAATGTTCACAAATACAAAGATTGAAGATATAAAGCATTCAATCATCGTTATTTTTGATTCTATTGATTTTTAGAATTAGCCAGAAAAAATTTCTTTAATTGGACTTTTTTATTTGTCAATCTTTCAGCCTCTAAAAGATATCAAATACCCCGAAATTAACGACAGCCTAATTGGCCTGTTGTGATTCTATAGATTTTTCCATTTGTCTGATAATAAGGTATTCTTTTCATATAATTTTTAAAAGTTTAATTTATGTCTGAGTCCCTCAATCAGACCTTGTTTTTTCAATTCTGTTCTTAAATATCACTTATTTACTCCAGAAGGCAAAACAACATATCATTTTTATCAAAGATTTTTCAAAAACCTGTGAGGGCTTAACTGACTTTATGTAACACATACATATTTAAATGAATATGTAAACTGTCTGCTTAATAAATTAAAGCACAGGCCTATAGTCTCCTTCTTTCCGGTAATAATCTTAACTTCCCAAGGTTGCTTTTAAGAATCAAGGAAAATGTAGTTGTAAATTAGACCGAGCAGAAACAATCCTTTGGACCATATCAGGTCCCTAACATATAGCCCAGGCCCAAGGGCATATTTAGAAAAAATATATGGGGGGGGGGGGGGTTGAACTTATATTTAGGGGGTGAACTTGTCAAATACACAGAGTTTTAAAATGTTCTAATGAAGTTTGTAATTTCTATGGTTTAAACTGTCGTCACAGGGATCTTCACTTCCGAACCTACACCCCTCAATCAATTGTCTACTTTAATTTCAACTACCTGTAAACCAATTATGTTTTATTCAAATCCCTATGTATTTGTATTTTTAGCTGAGTTCTATTCAGCTTTTGTACAGAGCCATACAAAATATTCTATGTACTAAAAAGTGTTATTTAAAAAATAGAAAGTTAAAAGACATTTACAATTGACTTAGACAAAAAGCATACAAAGGTATCAGACCTTTGCGCTGAAATTCTAAACGGTAATGTTGGTGCTTCAGGATCTGTCATTATAAATTTTTTTATTTTTATTTTGCATTTTTAATAGATATAATTGATAATATTTTTGCATATAGTCCGTACAGTACGTATTACGTAACCAGAACTTCAGCCAATGGCAGTGTAGTATACTGGTCATGTGATTTACATCTATATCATGTGACCATCATACTGCACTCTCATTGGCGGAAGTTCTTATGACGTAATACAGACTTAAAAAAAAAATATTATCAATTATATCTATTAAAATGCAAAATAAAAATTAAAAAATTTATAATGACAGATCCTGAAGCACCAACATTATCATTTAGAATTTCAGCGCATTTTTTCATTTTTTCTTTACAATCCCTTTAATAAAAAAACTGTTAAATTATATTACCTCTTTAACCAGAGCTGAAAACTTAAGAATAATGGATATCAAGATTAATGTTTAACTAAACTAATGTTTTACTAAACCCGAGATTACTTAAATTTGCATTCGATATCCAAGAAAGAAGTAAAAATTCAACCAATCAGTGTATAATGTTAAAATGTACTCCTTAACTTTTGAAAATCCATTTTTTTTCTGGTGTTAATTGTGTCATATCAATTGAACTAAACATCGAGTTCCACCCTTGACACTAGTTTTCAGACTAGTGAAGTGTAATCCTTAAACAAATAAAAATTTGACTATTTGATTTAACAGAATTCAGGGTTTTTAATAAAAAAGTATACAAAATGATATGGCAAAGTTAAAGGTATTTGAAAATTATTAAGAGTATTAAGAAAGTAATAATTAAAAACCCCTGGAAAGATGTAAATCTAAAAGAAATATATCAATAATCTGATAATGATAAATCCTATGTGAAAACTTCAAGATTCTAATTAGATAACATGTTAAGATCAAATAATAATTTTATTTTTACGGATCCATTGTCCTTTTCCATTTATTGCATTAATAGTTATTTTGTTCTAATTATTTTTTTTCACGAATATCTATTTTTTTATAATAGTTAATAGATTGGAATATTGATTTTCTGGTTCTAAATGCTTGCTTGATATTTAACAAATTTTTCCTATGAACATGAAATTGATCATAATTATTAGAAATGCATATAATTTCATATTCTTCTTCTTCTCAAAGAAGAAGAATATAATTTTATATTAATACAAGTCAAAGCGGCTGAACCGCGATCAGGCACATTTTTTTTGTGTTTAAAGTTTACATCGTGGATTGAATATTTTCAGACACTTATTCATTTTTTTTGATTTCTATAACTTTCCAATGCTCTATGGTGCGCTTAAGAATCGAAATTGTAAGTACACTATACTATAATTGTTCTTCTTTTAGGTCAGATGTACCTTATGGACGCCTTTCTAGGAGGAGAGTTCAGTACATATGGTTCAGATGTACTGAGAATGACAGGATTGGATGTAAGTTTAAATACTAATTATTAATTAACCAAAACCAAATCATTCCCTTTTTCATTAATTGAAGCAGTTTTGAGTTTTCTCTTTTTTCATTTGCCCTATACAACCTCCAGGCTCCCCCCACCCTCATATTTGCACTGTTCACAGATTCATTGAAATATTCATTAGCATTACCACCAAGAAAATTATTGATAGAAAGTTTGTTGTTAAAAACCAACCGTGTTAACCACCCTCTCCCTTTTCTTCAAACCAGTTTAGGAAGAAAAAAATAATAATCATTTTCTCCAGAGAAATCATCAATTAAAACGTTGATAGAAATTCTTATTAGAATAATTTTGTGTTAGGATGTCGATAATATTATTGATTCAAGTTTGCTCTTAAAGATTAAAATGTTACCCCCCCCCCCTTCTTTCACTTGTGCACATTCTGAAAACAGTTTTTAAAAGAATGCATAATGAAAATTATAAACTAATTATGATTAATATTCTACTAGGATGAAGAAAGAGTGGATCCTATGGCTAAGGTTTTCCCTAAGGTATTGTTTACAACATAGTTACCCGAAACCCTGAAAGGTTTAGACTTTCATGGAAAAAAGTTTTTAAGTTTAAAGAATCAAATATTTAATGTCTGGGTAATTTATATTCAATATACAGGGTTACCCAAAAATGATGAGACTTCTGAGACGATTTTGTGGTACTTAAAACATCATTACATGATCCAAGGGAAGGATTATGACTGGTCGGAGTTGAACACAGAAATTGAGTTTTTGCCACAAACTCAAATTTTCTAATACCTATATATCTACAACCAGATAATGTAAACCTTTGATATTTTAAACTTAGCTTATTTGATCTATCAGAATTCATGGTTTGAAATAACTAAGGTATACGCCACTGGGTTATGAAGTTATAGGGATAAAAAAATCAGAGTTTGTGACAAAAACTCAATTCCTATTCCCCGAAAAAATGTAGAAATTTATTATTTAAAAAATTTCACCAATTTTAACTGAGAAATCCGCGAAAAGGAATTGAGTATTTGGAACAAAATCAAATATTTAAACCTCAATATCTTTAGAACCCGATGTTGTAAACCTTTGATATTTCAAACTCAGATTATTTGATCTAACAGAATTCATAGTTTGAAATATCTAAGGTCTGCAACATTTGGTTCTATAGATATAGTGATTAGAAAATCAGAGTTTGTGCCAAAAACTCAACTCCTTTAAGAAGGATTTAAACTTCTAAGCTAAATTTTGTAATAGGGATGGGGGCGCGAAGCAACTTTAAAGCCTAGTAAACATAATAACGACAATGTAAACAAAAAATGTTTAAAATTGTTTATTTAGGTTTCTAAATGTACCTTTCACAAGTATGGACCGTCTGGAACTATAGTCAATCATGATGGACTCTGCATTCTTCCCATCAACATTATCAACGAAAAGGAAAATTAGAATGTTCATAACACATCAACTAAACTTAAATTCATTTAGTTCTTATCAGATTAAGTTATTTTATCCCTTAAATAAAAAAGGCTGGGTGCGGGGGAGGGGTGGGGTCATTTATATTTTCAAAAATTTAAAATCAGCGACCGGGGCCTTTTGATTTTTAAGGGATTGTTAAAAAAGTGGGATGATTATCCCCACGCAGGGGGTGGGGGGGGGGGGTGGGCCTGAATCACATAACTTATCAACATAAGCTAAAGTTTTAACATGAACATTTTTTTAATTATAGATTTATATTTTTCTGTGGTTTTGGTTCCTATGCCTTATCTGCTGGACTTCATTGTTTTTCTGCTTTAGAATTGTTACATGTGCATCCAGGTACATCTTTATATATGATGCATATCTATGCTCTCAACTAATTTTTTTCGGCCCGGGGGGGGGGAGATTTACACAAAAAAGACTGTAAAGACGAGCTAAAATATGATGATTACAAGGTACTGCTGCTGCCTTGACTTTAATGGTTTATTTTATATTCATAAATACAGTAGAAATCTCGGGTTTGCTGTCTGTTTGTATTCGATCAATTCATAATTACTCCCCGATCTTATTTGCCCAGAATTTTGATTTGGGAACTCGGTATAACCACGGGAATGTTATTAGCCTGGCTCGACAATTCTTAGTTAAATAGATTAACTGTATTTCTGAGCTAGTATTTTTATACATGATCGAGTACATTCAATATGGCGAGATAAACGATGTAAACTTTCCCATGTTACTCAGATATTGAGGTTTAATGGGTATCGTTGTGAATCGAACATGTTACTCTATAGATTATATAACGTTTTATGCATTCCATTGTATAACATTTTTACTAATTTGATAAATATAAATTGTAGGCGAACTAGATTTCTCATATTCTGCGGACGAGCTAAATCAAATAGCAAGGACGACATTTCAGTAGGTAATGATTTCCCTTCAAGCTTTTAAATGGGATAAAAATAAAAATAAAAATTTATAACTGGTGTAAATACAGTGAGAACCAGAAAACTCTGGAATATGAAGTCTACTTAAAGACTCAAGTTATGATTTTAAATAGTCCAAGAACATGTGACACAACACTTGTACACTGTACAGCGTAAACAGCCACATTTCACGTTTAAAGTGTTTTAATAACTTACTTAAGCAATGTACTCAGTAACAACATCAAATAAACTCAGTATTGTTATTGTCGTCTTCTTATTCTGCAGTTTTCTGGTTATCACCTCAGCATTTTAAACCAAATTTCTAGATGTAATGACGACATTTAAAAAATATATTACTTTGATTAGAATAAGAAAGAAGACATTTTAATTAAAATATTTTTTATCAATGCATAAAATTCAGTGATGGAAAAGCTGTGGTTTGGAGACTGGTTTATCCTGATGCAGTTGTGCAAGAATATGAATCCAATGATCTTTCATGATTTAGTCATTGATCTCAGAGATAGGTATTATATTGATCTCAGAGATAGGTATTATATTGATCTCAGAGATAGGTATTATATTGATCTCAGAGATAGGTATTATATTGATCTCAGAGATAGGTATTATATTAATCTCAGAGATAGGTATTATCTTGATCTCAGAGATAAGTATTATATTGATCTCAGAGATAGGTATTATATTGATCTGAAAGATATGTATTAAATTGATCTCAGAGATAGGTATTATATTGATCTCAGAGATAGGTATTAAATTGATCTCAGAGATAATTTTCAATGAAAGACGACTTATAGTTACATGTCGTCTCGAAAAATTATTTAGTTAATATATGACTCAATTATTTTGTTAGGATGGATCCGAAGAGAAGTGACAATATTGAAATGGAAAACGGAAATACGTATCCTACTCTTCCTCTTCTAGAGGAACCCAGAGCTCCGTATAAGGAGATTCCATAGACATAATCATTATAGGAAGACTCCATAGACATAATCCATACAAGGAGATTCCATAGACATAATCCTTATGAGGAGATTCCACAGACATAATCCATACAAGGAGATTCCATAGACATAATCAATACAAGGAGATTCCATAGACATACTTCATACAAGGTAATTCAGTAGAAATAATCCATACAAAGGGATTCCATTTATAAGCTCCGGGCCCTATTCTATAGACATACTCCTAATCGGTCATGAATAGACTAACCTACGAAAATATTCAGTTTGAGACTGGATTTTCAATTGTTCATTCAAACATTAGAATTTCAAGTAGATATTCTCTAACAAGTGAAATTGAAAAAAATTCTAAGAATATCAATTCATCACTTTTGTACATATTATTAAAGATAAAAATTGATCTAAAAATGACAGCAGCTGAAGTAGTGAATATGTCTGTTAAATGTTATTTTTGATCTGAATTATAAAATCTGATTGTTTTTTTTAATATCCTCAATTTTGTAATTTACAAATTTGTTGAATGTTTTTTACGTTTTTAATTTTGTAATCTCACTGTATTGTGCCTTTTTCTTAGTTTTGTAAGATACTGATAATATTTAAGGGATTTTTGTCGTAGATTTAGATATTTTCTTGAATAAGATCGACTCACAGACCACAGTTGCCTAAACATCTTTAATATGCTATTATTACTAAGAAATATTTCGAACTAGGAAAATAACTTCAAATCTTTTTTATCTGAATTTGATAAAATGCAGATTTCCGTTGTTTTCTTAGTGATAATCATATTTTCAGCTTATAGACTGTTGATGAATCGAAGCAAGTTCGGAATTACAGGTTTATATTAGTGATGCCACGAAATCAACTACCTCAATGAAAAGCTTATGCCGGCGGTGTTTTGAATGGTTAATTCATTGCGTAAGATCGTAATATTTGGCCCGCCAAGTTTTTTAAACTATATTTTAAGTTTAAATATGTTTCTAAATTCCATATCTTAAAATATTATCTTATCACTTGATACATTATGAATTGCTTTTAGTAATAACAAGTTACTCATGTTTTTTTACGGTGCCATTGAAAATTGGCTAATTTAGTGTTAATTAATTTGTAACAAGTAGTTTTTAATATCTCCTGTAGTTGTAGACAAATTTTCAATAAAGGTATGATAATGTATTTTTTACATATTTCATATTATATTACAGTATCAGGATGTGACTTCAGAGTTAACTATGCTAATAGTACGTACCCCCAATTTTTCAGGGAGAAATGAAGATTATATTTACCCATACATTCAACCATATTTCCTTGCAGCTGATTTTTTTTTTAACAAACTGGTTTTATTAAAGGATATCAGACCATAAATTTTAGATCGTCGTTAAAGTTTAATTTTGTGGAGAACTGTAGAATATTCCATTTTTTTACTTAAATAAAAAGATCTAACTTTATATACATTTAACATTTATTACGTTAACTTTCATAAAAATAAAAAATAAACATGGTCACATCATAGCAAATCATTTATGCTTAAAATTATATTTATCTTCTATATGGTTAATATTTAGAGAAGAAGGCCAACAGTTGAAAGCTATATTCTTTTAACATTGCAATGAAAAGTCGTAATTTTTTAGTTTTACCGAAATCACTAGATAATTTTCTTCATATAGAGTTCGCTAGAAATATGAACAATTATAAAAAAGATCTAGCTTTTGAATTACAGCGCCTGATGGTTTATAAAAAAGGGTTCTATCATTTTCATTATAAGCCCTCATCATTTTTACTGAAGACTCACATTATTAAGCATTATTCAGAATACTCCCTATTCTAACAAAGGAATTAAATCTTTTTTTCTGAATTAAGTAAACTGCTAGCTAACATACAAGTACAAGACTGCTTCAATTTAACATTTAGGCAAGACAAGAGTTTTAATCAGTCATCTGGTATCTTTAAACTACATTTCTCATAGCATGTTATTCTATTGTTAAAACTCTATAAAACTTAACAATCAAGGCTTGATTTTGATTTTTTAGTAAATTTGGAAGCTGGTTTTACATTAGTGGAAATTAGACAATGTTATAATTAAATATTTGTAATCAGAACCGGGAACTGGAGTATCGTTAATCTCGAAAATTTTGATCTTGATTTCCAATGCGGGCACTTTAAAATGCTTGATCTCTTCATTTTCGTTATCCCTGCCGGGTATAACCACTACGGGATATCGAAGATGAATTCGATAAATCTGTAAGTTTGAATAAGATGGAGATCAATGCTTCATCCCGAGATTCACAACACAAGTTCTGACTTTAGTACAAAGCGATTATTTAGCAAATATATGTAAATTAAATGTTCAATCATTTAAAACTGTTCGCGCGCATTTAAGAATTGTGTAGGCAAAGACTATTTATAAATGTTTTTACTTTCATAAAACGTAATTTGTTAAGAGAACATTGTGCAGAAAACATTGTACGGTTTTTAGAGCTCTCGACATAATCCTAGTTAATCCTATATAATACCTTGAAATTTACAATTTGAATATTGGATTGTTCCATTTCCCGATTAAAGTAAAAATACCCGTCACCGTCACGTAATTGTTATGAATCCTTAAAAAGACCCTCATAAAATATAGTGTCACTGAACATTGTGCCGACATTTTCTTTAAGGTAAAACTAAAAAAGTACATAAGCTTTGTACATGCCTACAGTTGATTGTACATTTTTACAAAATTGTACAATGTATTATTTTGCTTTCAATTCACACCAAAGGTCTAAATTAATTATGGTTTAAACTTTCAATTTTGTTCTGCTGGAACAAAACTTTTTAATCCGTTTCTTTTGGCACGACGAGTAACATTTTCTGCAGAACTATTGTCAACAAACCTGAAAAAAACGTTGTAAAAAATTTTAAGAAAACAAATAATTATTAAACCCATATAGATTATTGGGTTACCAACAAAGGATAAGACTTCACTGACGACTATATGGATTTTATGCTGAATTTTCTAAATGTCTTGGCTAAACGTTATGTCGATTATTATAACATACAAACGGAGACACACAATTTGAAGAAAACGAAATATAAATTATGATGATTGTTAAAAACTGAAAACTTTAGGATAAATGTCGTTCTTTTTTTTACTTTTACAGAAATCTCGTTTAGAATTGAGTTATTTGTAATCCTTGCAACAATTTTTTCAAAATCTACATGTCATTTTAAGCAATGTTTAGGTGCAAATTTCTAAATACTTAGCAACATTTCATATAAAAATATAAAAAAGAAGAAGACGAGAATTCTACTGTTTTCTGGTTCTCACTGTCCACACTACAGTGTATGACGTTTATATCAATACAACGAAGACGACTTTTCTATTTAATTTTTGTTTTCCAAAAAGCTTTTTTCAAATTACAAGTTATAACAAGTAAACACAGAGAAGCTGTTAACTGGTGGCATTTCTTTATTTCCATATTCATATCCATGATGCTTAAAAGCTGGATAGAATTAAATAAAATGAAAAGTAGACTTAATTGTTTTGATATTTACGACAACGGCTTTATATAATTCAAACCTTTATTTTGTCTTTTTAGCTGGGGGCATAACAACCAGCAGTTTCTGTAGTGCTGTGTTACATCCAGCTATAAATAGAAGGGTCAGCACACACACGAATACACTACTTTCCCAAACCCAAATAATTTCCCAAGTAATTATTTCCAAAGAAATCATTTTCAAAATAAATATTTCCAAAGAAATTTCCCAAGTAATTTCATAAGTAATTAGTATCCAAGAAATATCCCAAGGAATCGTTTCCCAAGTAATCATTTCCCAAGTAATCATTTCCCAAGTATATATTTCCCAATTAATTTCCCAACTAACTATTTACCAAGTAGCTATTTCTTTAGCAATTTCCAACTTTATTATTTCTGAAGAAATTTCCCAAGGAATCCTTCCTGAAGTAATTATTTCCCAAATCACAAGTAAACATTTCCCAAGAAATCTCCCATGTAATCTTTATTTACTTGGAATATAACCAAACATTCACACTATATGAGAAAAAAGGAAAAGGCAGGATAAACATATTTTTTTACATGAATTTTTTTAATTGTTTATAAAATATAAAAATCATGGATGGTATAAGTGGAAAAAAAGAAACTTGACTTTTCCCTGATGTTTCAGTAATTTCAATTGATCATCTCCAATTATAGTGGCATGTCCGGTTTACAACTGAACCCTTAAAAGCTTTGTCTGGTTGTGTATAAATTTGATATCTATGTATTTGTTTTTAAAGGGAGTGACCGGCTATGTAAGGTAGTTGAACTGAGTATGCAGTGTTGGGGAAAGCTTCTTTCGGATTCATTTGATGCATATGAAACTTTTTAAAGATGTGTAAATCCTGAGTTTGAGCGCAAATTCGATGTTCAAAACTCCTACTTTGGGGGTGGATTCGTTTACAGAATTAGTTTTTTTTTAAATTATTAAATAACGACGACATAAATGTAAAAAAGTTCTTTAATAAACTAAAGACGTCATGATTAGGAACATGTTGAGAAAATAAAAGCTAATCTTATCATCGAAAATAAGTAATCTTGTTCAATTATTAGTTTCTATTATCTCATTATTCTGGTTTCTCATTATTCACAAAGATTTTCGCAGATTTTCTAGAATTATTATTGAAAAGACGACATTTGATGAATTTGAAGAAATCTGCGATATATATTTAAAGAAAATTAGAAATTCAATATAATAATGAAAACAATATAATCGATGTTAGCATTTAAATTTAAAGACAAATTTCTTTTGAGAAATATGTTCCTAGCCATCTAGTTAGATTACTGTATAATTTTTACTTTACTTTTCGTTGTCGTTATTTAATAATAAAAAAAACTAATTCTGAAAACGTATCCATGCACCCCCAAATCAGGAGTTCTGAACGTCGAATTTGCGCTCAAACTCAGTATTTACAGATCCTTAAAAAGTTTAATATGTCTTAAATGAATCCGAAAGAGGTTTTCCACAACACTACATACTCAGTACAAATACCTTACATAGCCGGTCACTCCCTTTAAAAACTAATTACTTTTATTTGTAGAAATGATCAGAATTGAATACTTTTTAAGCCAAAAACGACGCTTTCTTTCATAATTGATCAGATTAAAGTTTCCAGGGTTCGATAGTAAATTAGACTTGTCCCTCTTGTAAACGGAGAATCGCTTAAAATCACGATAACTGTCCCTTTAATTAGAACATTTTCTAGAATTAGTATGCACTCAAGTGTATCTCAAAAATTGTTAGATATTTTTATAAACTTTTTTCTTTCACAAAAAAGTTGTTAATTCCAAAAAATGTGTTTATTGTACATGTGTTAGATAAGTAAGTTGTTAAGTACACTGGAAGGTGTCCAAAGATCCAGAGATCCAAAGAATGGTTGTAGAATTACGATAGAGTCTAATACTTTTGGGACAGATGATTGTTATTTGTTGGCCCCCCTTTGTCGGATATTAATTTCAACTTTTTAAACATTTTTCATTTATTTAGTGTTTTTTAACCCCCTTTTAAATTATTTCAAGCCAATTTTCGATCAAAACATTTATTTTAGCAAATGTGATTGATAATCGTTACTGCGCTCATTTAATTTCTCATGGTGATTATCCTTAGACATTGGACACCTTCCTGGTAAAAAGTTCACATAAAAATTAAGTTTGATTAACTTCAACATCGTAGACCTGAGATCGGAACTTTTGGTTGGCTTAGTGCTTAGCTGTAAAGTATCAATAGTGGAAACTTTTGAATTCAAATGATTAGATATTAAAATCTGTGAAAATGGATAAAACTTTCAATCCTTTTTGTTGTATTTTCAAGACTTCAGATTGGTCAAGCTTTCCACAATCTGGACCTCTCATTGGTCGATTCCCGAAATGAAGTCCTTGATGAGAAACGACTCAGCGCTTTTGTTCAAAAGTTTCGATCTCTGGTGAAATAAGTCTCTACCAAGTTTGGAATAAATTGAAAAACAACTTTTTTGTCATATTAATTTTTGACTCACCTATGAACTTCAGAACAACTGGAGGCTTGTTTTTCCAGGCAATAAACACAAAGTACACAGGGACACCGGTAGCAATAATAGCAATACCGATACCTAGATAGATAGATAGATAGATAGATAAATAGATAGATAGAGAGATAGATAGATAGAGAGATAGATAGATTGAGAGAAAGAAAGATAGATAGATAGATAGAGCGATAGATAGATAGATAGATAGATAGATAGATAGATAGAAAGATAGATAGATAAATTAAACCTGTCTCTATTGGGGATGCAATCATCGGAACTACGGTGATGAAGATTGTGCAAATAATGTAGATTATTGGGAAGATCAGGTGAACCTGAAATTAGATGATCAGTTAATTAATCAATTAGTTATTTAGTTATTCAATTAACTAATCACTAAATTAATAAATCAATCCATCAACCAATTAATCAAGCAATTAATCGATTAATTAATTAATCAATAAATCAATTAGACCCCAAATGATTTACGAAATTATTAATAAATTAATGATTTGTTTATATATAATATTTATTTTTTCATTAATAGTTCAGTAATAATAAATACAACAAAATAGATTTCGAGTTTTGAAAACAAAAAAATTTTTGAAAAAAAATTAATATTTTCGTTAAGAGGGTTTCTTAAAAAAATTAGCTTTATTGGATAAAGTTAGAAAAAATAGAGAACAGCTTTAATATTAATATTAATTATATTAATCATAGATACAGTAGAGAACAACCTTAATATTAATATTAATTCTGTTAATCATAGATAAAGTAGAGAACAGCTTTAATATTAATATTATTAATCATAGAGTCAATCCTTTCCCAGTCATTCAATACTCTTCAAAAGAGTAAGGACAAACTCCTGATGATGCCAAAGTTTTTGGCGAAATATATTGAGAAGAAAATGATATAATTCTAGTGCTAGAGAGTAGGGTTGGGATTTGTTTAAAAACGATCTAAAATCATAGATAAAATAGAGAACAACTTTAATATTAATATTAATTCTGTTATTCATAGATAAAGTAGAGAACAGCTTTAATATTAATTCTGTTAATCATACATACAGTAGAGAACAACTTTAATATTAATATTAATTCTGCTAATCATAGAAAAAGTAGAGAACAACTTTAATATTAATATTAATTCTGTTAATCATAGATAAAGTAGAGAACAGCTTTAATATTAATATTAATTCTGCTAATCATAGATAAAGTAGAGAACAACTTTAATATTAATATTAATTCTGCTAATCATAGATAAAGTAGAGAACAGCTTTAATATTAATATTAAATCTGCTAATCATAGATAAGGTAGAGAACAGCTTTAATATTAACTCTGCTAATCATAGATAAAGTAGAGAACAGCTTTAATGTTAATATTAATTCTGTTAATCATAGATAAAGTAAAGAACAGCTTTAATATTAATTCTGCTAATCATAGATAAAGTAGAGAACAACTTTAATGTTAATATTAATTCTGCTAATCATAGATAAAGTAGAGAAAACTTTAATATTAATATTATTTATATTAATTATACATAAAGTAGAGAACAGCTTTAATATTAATATTAATTCTGTTAATCATAGATAAAGTAGAGAACAACTTTAATATTATTAATATTAATTCTGCTAATCATAGATAAAGTAGAGAACAACTTTAATGTTAATATTAATTCTGTTAATCATAGATAAAGTAGAGAACAACTTTAATATTAATATTAATTCTGTTAATCATAAATAAAGTAGAGAAAACTTTAATATCAATTATATTAATCATAGATAAAATAGAGAACAAACTTTAACATTTATTATATTAATCATAGGAAGAATGAAAGGTTTGTTTTTATTTTGCATTTTTAATAAATATAGATCCTTTACAGTCCCTTTAACAATAACAAACCTTAATCGGTCTTTCCCATTCAGGATGCTTCCATCTTAACCAGGGTAGACAGAATACTGCTAGACCGATAGATACCTAGTTAGATAGATAGATATATATATATAGACAGATATTTATATTAGATAGATAGATAGATATATTAGATAGATAGATAGCTATCTAGCTAGATAGATAGATACATATATAGATATAAATAAATATATATTAGATAGATAGAAAGATACCTAGTTAGATAGATAGCTAAATATATAACGTGAAACCCTTAATAAAGAATACATCGGAAGAATTTGTCAAATGTCGTCTTGACAATTTTTCAATGAGTTTTATACTATATTACGTAAATTTCCGTATTTGCGAAAATAAATAAATAGCCATGAATATGCGGGAACAGTTTTAAAGAGTTCCTTATAATCATTTAGTTAAAAAACTAAATATCTGCAGTATTCCATTATCAGAAAGTGAAGAATACGACATTTGATGAATTCGTTCGATGTATTCGTTATTAAGGGTTTCACTGTAGATAGATAGATACTTTGTTAGACAGATAGCTTGATAGAAGCATAGATGAATATAGATAAATATATAGATAGATAGATACTTTGTTAGACAGATAGCTTGATAGAAGCATAGATGAATATAGATAAATATATAGATAGATAGATACTTTGTTAGACAGATAGCTTGATAGAAGCATAGATGAATAAAGATAAATATATAAATAGATAGATACTTTGTTGGACAGATAGCTTGATAGAAGCATAGATGAATATAGATAAATATATAAATAGAAAGAGATAATTAACTTGCTCTGATTAGATGCAAATTTGTTTATAAAATCTTTTAAAATAGTTTTGATTAAAAATCTTATATAATATTTCAAAATTTTCCCCAAAAGAAATCACCAAATCTGTTTCCTGCTATGATTGCATTGCATGAAACATAATGTGTGTTAAGATAAATATATAGATAGATACCTCCTTATATAAATATATACATAGATGTTAGATAGATATAGAGATAGATAGATATATGGATAGATAGATAGTTAGATAGATAGAGATATATATAGAAAGAAATATAGATAAAGATAGATTAAAAGATACTATAGTTAAAAAGATCAAAATCTATCATGCAAGAACAAATCTTTATCAAGCAGCGAAAAATAATGTAACAAATGAATATCGTCTTTGCTTTTATTGGCGCAGGACAATTTATAATTTTTATCAATTATCTATAAATGTTTCTCAGACATTTTAAATTTACAAAAATACAAAGATGACAATCATTTAACATATTATTAGCTCGGTTAGTAATTGCACTGCACATGCTCGAAACAAGCAGAAAAAAACAATCATTTTAATTTTTGTTTAATACAATGCAAGTTGATGCAACATTACAAAACAAGAAGAAGTTCTAATTGGAACATACGATACAAAACAGCAATATATTTATATTGCATTTGATGCAAAGCAAAAGTTAGAATTGGACCAAATAATTCTAAAAAAATATCTAAATAGTAAATAGATAGTAAATGGAGATGGGTGTTAAGTATTTTCCGAAATGCATTTTCCCAACGGCACTTCCCAAATGACAATGTCCCAAATGTCAACTTCCCAAATGACAATGTCCCAAGTGGCAACTTCCCAAATGTGCAACTTTCTTATGGTTAGGCCTTCTGAGATGCCACAGGCAGCGATGGGGGCCAAGTGTTGCGGCTAGGGGGTTGACCACTGCGGCTAGGGGATTGAGCACTGAGGCTAAAGTATGCTTTGGGGCCGAGCGCGGCGGCAAGGATAGATTGAGGAAGTTGCCACTTGGGAAAATACCCTTTGGAAGTTGCCACTTGGGGGAAAAAACCTTTGGGAAGGTCCCTATATTTATAAGTATAAATTAGGTAAGAATTTTAAAAAAAAGTGGTAAAAATAGCAACTTTCTTTTAATATTACGTGCAGTGAATGTTTTTTAAAAAGAATTATATAATATTTAATTTTTAAAGAATGCTATATATTATAATCTAAATATAAAACAAATGTGACTGAAATTTAAAAAAACTGATCAATTATCCTTATTAACAACCAAAAATATAAGACAATGGACAAACAAATTTGAATTTGTTTAAACTGATCCTCCTCCTACCCAAGTAGCGAATCCAACATAATTTATTAACGCGTAGATGTCTGAAGAGCAAAGGTAAACCAAAGAGAGCAGGGCCTAAACATGGTTTAAGGTTATAGCGTACAGAAGTAGACTGTTAATTATCAGCAGCATAACTAGTTTTCAACTTTAATTACTTAACACTCCACGGACTATAATTTTCAAATCCATATCTTTGTAACCTAATAGTTTAGACCTTTGAAATTTCAGAAATTACACTATTCGATTAAAGAGAATTTAAAGTTTAAAATAGTAAAGGTTGCAACTTTCAATTAAGGACAATAATTAGAAAATATGAATTGATGGCGAGTGACTAGTTATTTTTTAATGAAATAAAAGTTGAAAACCGAAAAATTGATATTCATCACTGAAGTATATTTAAAGATGATATTAATTCCTCCACAGATCTCACACCTGAAACTTTATTAAATATATTAAATATCTATAACGTATTTGTTATGTGGATATATATTCTTGAGGTTTTTTGTTAATTCCATCACCGGGGTGTGAAGTATATGTATAGTGTAATACAAGCATTTGAAGAATACTATTAGATTTTAGCACAACAGACGAAGTACTTTATTGATCTACGCTTTTCATCATTTTAGCCTGAAAAAATTTTATTGTTGCTAAATAAAGCTTTAAGATAATAAGTTATGAATGATACGATATAAAAGGATTGAATATGATAACAAAAATTGCAACCTTTTCCAGTTTTATTTAGCAAACAGTCATTCACCACCACCCCCTCCACATACCGCCACCTCTACCACCACACCCTTCCCCTGCACCTTTACCACCAGCCAAACCAAACCCTTCTCCTGTACTAACCCAGGTGGCAAACCCTGTATAGTTGATCAGAGCAAATATATTGGAGCTAGCTAGATAACCCAAGGATAACAGAGCCTAAATATATAAATAGCAAATATATTTGAACTAGCTAGATAACCCAGAGATATCTAGGCCTAAATATATAAATAGCAAATATATCTGAGCTAGCTAGAGAACCCAAGGATAGCAGGGCCTAATTAAATAAATACCAAAAATATCAGAGCTAGCTAGATAGCCCAGATAGCAAGGCCTACATATATTTATATTAAATTTGTCCACAGTTGTATGTGTCCCACTGTGTATAGCTATATACTGGGAATAGTAGAAAATATTTTAATATCTAATTTATAGGTTTGAATGTGTCAATATATATTTATATATTTATATAATGATATATTTATATAAAGATATATTATTTCTCTGTTAATTTTAAATTCTTATTTTCCGTTAAAACCTGTAAAAATCTAAATTAAGTTTTGATTTTTACATTTTTTATAACTCTGAAGATCAACAAGAAAATTGATAATTTCCTAAAAATAGAAATCTTTTCACAAATTCTTATGAAACATACAATTTTAAATTGGATTTCTAATACGATATTCAATCCCACAAAGGATCAGACTTTAATGACGCCTTTTCTGCAAATTCAACAAAAAAGTTGATAATGGTCTTTTTGCTTTAAAAATCCAGTTTGTAAATAATTGAAGCAAATACAGTAATATTATAGGAAACAAGAACATCTTTACAACGGAGGTCAAAACTTTTATAAATTTTTTATAATTTTTTTATAATATTTATTTTTTCATTAATAGTTCAGTAATAATAAATACAACAAAATATATTTCGAGTTTTGAAAACAAAAAAATTTTTGAAAAAAAATTAATATTTTCGTTAAGAGGGTTTCTTAAAAAAATTAGCTTTATTGGATAAAGTTAGAAAAAATAGAGAACAGCTTTAATATTAATATTAATTATATTAATCATAGATACAGTAGAGAACAACCTTAATATTAATATTAATTCTGTTAATCATAGATAAAGTAGAGAACAGCTTTAATATTAATATTATTAATCATAGAGTCAATCCTTTCCCAGTCATTCAATACTCTTCAAANTGAACAGGAAAAAGAGTTCTGAACGATTAACTTTATTAAAAATCTAAATCTATATAGTAAATGATGAAAGAAATATCTGGAATAAATATCACAAGTTAGAATCAGCTGATCGAATCCGCCCCCTTGGATTTCTCTGGAAACAACTCAGATGACGACATTCATATCCGCCACAAATCATTCTTTTATGATGGATGAAAAGAATAAATTTAAAGGAACTGTCGACGTAATCTTAATTGATAAAAAAAAATATTGTTCAATGTTTTAAAAATAAAATAAAAAATTATGGTTTTTCATTTCAGACTGAAACAAACAAAAAATCAGTTTCAAATTTGAAAAGGACAATGATTATAATTAAATTAAATGAATACTTTCATCAAAATCTTATTTTCCTATCCCTACATTTTTGTAGCCTGATGTTCTCAAGGTTTGCACCACTATGCATATGATTATGATGCAATTAGACAATATAAGGTTGTGGCAAGTGTTTTTAGTTTCTACATCGTTTTAATTTAATTCAGTTGAATTCAGAAAAATTCCAACGGGGAAAACGATATTTTTTGCGATACAAACCTAAAATAAAATAAAATGAAAAAAGGAAATACAAAACAACTTATGAACACTTTTAGATTTAGAAAACATGAATAATCCCTGTAGACCTGCATGGTAAATAGAAAATGACCTGAATCATGCTCAGAATTTCGGGCATTTGACCTTCACAGGCACCAGCGTAGAATAGACGGCTGGAGGTCAGCAGGATTCCTAGAGGTTAAAAAGTGAGGTCAAGTGCTCCTTTGGCGGGTTCAGAGGAATACTAATCCCCTCCACCCTCCCTATAGGAAGTCCTGTTTAAACTTAATTTCCCCCCCTGAACCACCCTTTTTGTTTCTGATAACCCCGGCCCCCCCCCCATTCGTCTTCGTCCCTATCAACATTCCCTCATTTCATCCATCCCTCAACAGTATCCCTCCCAACCCTTTTTCTTTTCTTATTTATGCTCCCTTACTGTGATTTCAAGCTCTTAAACAAAAATCTATGAAAATTTTGCTAATCACTTCTTAAACACCAAAGCCAACAATAGTTGCTTTATAACGCCTTAAATGTACATGTAAAGGACTACAGAAAAAAATGAGTAAGTTAGAGAGATAAAAAAAGCCCAAGGCGTTGCGACACTTAAAAGCCGACCTTGTCTTAAAAGTAGATGAGCCTTTTTTCAAGCAGGCTGAATCTATGTTCCCATTCTCCCCTCCTTATCCTTCCCCCCCATACCTTTCTCCCCTCCTTTTCCTCCCCCATCCCTTTCTCCCATCCTTTTCCTCCCTCCCATCCCTTTCTCCCCTCTTTCTCGTCACCCCCCCCATCCCTTTCTCCCCTCCTTTTCCTCCCCCCATCCCATTCTTCCCTCCTTTTCCTCCTCATCGCTTTCTCCCCTCCTATGCGCCCCCTCCATCCTTTTCTCCCCTCCTTTGCGCCCCCCCCCATCCCCTTCTCGCCCTCCCTCCTACCGTTAACTCCTCCAAAAGTTGACATTGCAACAAATACTGGAATCATGAAAGCAAAGTTCCCGTAGAGGCGCTCGGCAAAGGTCTGAAAAACAATTAAAACATTATTATACAGGGATGATAAAAATAACGAGTAATTATTACAACAATAATGATGATACTTTTTTAATTAAAAGTCATTTTAATAGATTAGTTTAGAATACATTTGGCAAAATGTTATCAAAACTTTTAAGATTGAATTTTAGTCCATTTTCACTCAAAGAAAACATTAATATTTTGAATTATAGCGTGTAAAAGGACAATAACGTTAGATTTGTTTTTTTCCTTTTGAAGGATCCAAATGGAAAATTATTTAAATTTTATCTTTTTCAAAAAGTTTTTTAAAAAATTACCACTGCTACTGCCTCTGAACCCAGGACCTCGGGAATACTAGAAAACAAGAAAATTTTTTAAAATTAAATTTTTTAAATTGAATGCATCTCTGTACGGTTACTGCCAATATGTAGATGCATAGAAGTAAATTCCTTTTTATGAAAACCGATAAATGACTTAAACTCATTTTCCAAAGACTAAGGACTTTTTTCTTGTTTATTTTTCTTCGGCAATATTTTCTTCAGGACTTTAATTCCTGTGATCTTATTTCCTGAGACTTTCTTGGCAGCCCCCATATTATTTTAGGCAAAAAAGTTCCAAGAATCTAAAATTCAGGACTTTATTTCCAGTGACATTTTGGCCTAAGACTTCAGAAAATTGAGATTTTCTAACTTAGATTTCTCTGTACAGTGTACAGTGTACAGTGTAAAGAGTAACAACATGCAGTGTACAGTAGGGAAAGTCTTATGCAAAAAAAGATCGATCAAAAATCAGAGTTAAACTTTTGTTTAAAGTTCAAAGTTGTATTTTTAAAGTGAAGTGCACGTAAAAAAGTGAAAAAAAAACAATGGTATCAAAAGATCTGCGTTATATTTCAACACACTGCACTGCATTGAACTGTAGTGCACTGTACTGTACATTACATAAAGGTTGTTAATCGTTTTTAGAAACGATCGAATAAAAGATACTAATTTTGAACTTTTAAAAAACTAAAAAAAATCGTTTTTTAAAACTAAAAAATCGTTTTTATACGATTGTTTTTTCAAAAACGATCGTTTTTAAAAACCATCGTTTCGTTTTTCGTTTTTTCTTCGTTGTTTTTCAAAACAGTGAAAACGATCTATCCCTAATTGTACCTGAGTGTAGTGTAAAAAGCAATGTTTACAAGTACATAGACAACAGTCACCAGTACACAAGAGATAGAGATCGCACGTGGTAGATTCCTTACTGGGTCCTAAAATAGGTAAATTCCTTACAGGGTCCTAAAACAGGTAGATTCCTTACAGGGTCCTAAAACAGGTAGATTCCTTACAGGGTCCTAAAACAGGTAGATTCCTTATAGGGTCCTAAAACAGGTAGATTCCTTATAGGGTCCTAAAACAGGTAGATTCCTTATAGAGTCTTAAAACAGGTAATTCCTGCATACTACAGTGAGAAGTAGAAAATGGTGGAATAAGAAGTATAAAGTTATAAAGCAAATATTTTACTAGGTGGGTAAAGCTCTGCCTGATATACTTCAGCCAAAGAGAATAGAATATATATTAGAGGGGAATTTACTAGAAAAAAGTGTAAAACGGCCATTTTGTTGTACTGTTTCCATACTGCAGGTGTACTATTTATGCTATATAACCTTTTGGGCCAAGGAACATCATTTTATAGAAAATCTAAAATTAATATTCAAAGAAAACCAAATTATGAAATAAGCTGGTTTTATAATTGACTAATGATCATTTCACATAGACTCTATGCCTTTCATTTTTCAAACGATGATTTTCCGTTATAACTATAAATCAAATGATATTTTTTATTCACCTAATTCATTATAAAGTTTATTTAACAGTTTTAAAAAATTCGAAATTGAAATAGATAGTCCAGGGAACATACTGTATTAATGTACTCTACTGCATATAATTTGTGAACATTTACATGATTTGTACACTTTGAACTCCCTTTCAGACTGAAAGGGACTGAAAACATTCATACCGAGATATTCTCTGAATTCCCCTCTAATAAATATTCTATTCTCTTTGACTTCAACTTAGTTTATACCTGGAGTTCCTCAATAACAAAGTTTAGATAATTCCATCCATTGTAAGCAAAGAGTCCGGAGTAGAATGACAAGGCTATTTTCCGTACATCAGTCTCAGTATCATCCCAGGTAAAGTTCTCAACCTAGATAAATATATTCTCAACCTAGATAAATATATTCTCAACCTAGACAAATATATTCTCTACCTAGACAAATATATTCTCTACCTAGACAAATATATATTCACAACCTAGATAAATATATTCTCAACCTAGACAAATATATTCTCTACCTAGATAAATATATTCTCAACCTAGACAAATATATTCTCAACCTAGACAAATATATTCTCAACCTAGACAAATATATTCTCAACCTAGACAAATA